ACGACATTCTAATTTATTGAGATGCACCTGTATATATATATATATATATATAATAGAAATGTGTAATAAAACTGTTAATTTACCAAATTGTTTTCCAGGTGTAAACTACTTTTTATTAAACATTTTGTCACCTTGGAATTATAAGGTTCTATCTGCATTCTGAGCAGTTTCGAGATATTGAGCTTCAAAGTTGCATTCCATATAGTGATATGGGATATGGGGAAAAAGTCTCTTTCATACATCAGTCCCAAAATGTACACAACTTAAAAAAAAAAAAACATCAGATGATGTAAATAAATTGTTACAGAATAAGAATATGTAAATAACTCAATTTTGACAAAAAAAATGGCAGATGGAACCTTATAATTCCAAGGTGATGATTTACATCTTTAATGTCGCTGTTGCTTTCACTTTTTCATAAAACATAAATATATATTTCTAGTCTCTCTGACAAGGAATGCTGGTCTTGGATCAGTTTTCACTAACTAATGAATATGATTATGTAGACGGGGGAATTAATCCACGATCTGACTGTGAAGCTGTCAACACATGGAGCCCGAGCGGCCAAATAATCCATGAATGAATAGATATTGACATACAGGTTATGCTAGAAACTGTGACACACTTCTCTCTGCTTCCCTATTCAATTCATCTCTATACCTCTATCTTACTTCTGCAGGACGTACTGAATAATGAGATCTGACAACAGGCTGCCATCTTTTCCAGCTGGACACCACCACACAGGCCTGTAATCAGAAATGACACCCTTTTCTAAACACACCTGCCATTGAGGTCTTAATGAATATGTCCGCTGTTCAATTACACAGTCTTGCTCTGTCTTGACAGGGCTGTCAGAGATGTGTGTGGCCACAAAGATCACTATAGGAAATGCTCACGGAAATGAGATATAAATAGCTTCTGATTTATTTCTTTGATTGATTGGATAAACATCCTGAAAATATAGTTGAAGGGTCAGGATTATAGTTAAGGTATATATATATAATATATATAATATTTTTGAATTGTTTTTAGCTTTATTTTTTTGTTTTCATTTAAATGTTTTAGTTTTGAAATGTTGTTGTATGCATTTGTCATTTTTATTTAATTTCTTTTATTTTCTTAAAAGCTTTTAGCTTTTCGTTTTAATTATGCATTTGTCATTTTTATTTAATTTCTTTTATTTTCTTAAATGTGTGTATATATATAGTATTTATAGAGTTTTAGCTTTTAGTTTTAATTACTTTTTCTTATTTGTAAGTCGCTTTGGATAAAAGCGTCTGCTAAATGACTAAAAGTAAAGTAAAAGTAAAGGTACTGTCAAACTTTAGTTTAGTTCTCACAGTGATTTAACTGCAGTACTTTTTTATTTGGAAGCTATGATTTTTTTATTTTCCATATACATAATTTGTAATTATACTACTACTACTACTAAATATTATTATTAGTAGTAGTATATTTTTAAGCACATTTTCATCAGGAACCTATTATAATTCCAATACCATAGTCACAGCCTGACAAAAAAAAATAAAAAATTAGGTGTGTGTGTGTATATATATATATAATAAATTAAATCCACATCTATATCTTTTTACATGTAAATATATCATGTCATATCATTGTAAAATAAAATAAAATAAATAGTACAAGTGAAATACAATTGTAAACTATTACATTTTCATTAGGAACCTATGATTTTTTTTAATTAAAATACTTTTTTTATAATAATAACAGGGACAATACATATTTAGATATTTATTTATTTATAAGTACATTTTAATCAGCAACCAATGGAAATTTCTAAGTAATAGTCATAGCACTTGGCAAATAAAATAAAATAAAATAAAAAAATTAAATAATAACATTAAATAATGCCTGTAATTCCTGTAATCATTATAATTTTCCTGTAGTAACAATGATGTATGGTGTAATGGAAAATGTCTGTAGAAGAACTACTGAAGTTGGACAGTACACTAACCCTTTTTGTGAGAGTTGCGCCTTACTTTCTAAGCACTACATTTACGGGAAGATGTAGAAATACAAGCAAAATGGCTACAGATCCATCTTAACAGTGTTTACTGCTCCAACGTGATGGAGAACAATGCGGAAGTGGAGGAAAGGCGTTAAGAAACAGCAGTTTCTTCAAAGAATTAGAGTTGGCCACAGTACACGGCCGGTGGGCCATTAGTTCGATTAAGCCCATTCCTCAGTGCTGGATGCTGTCCAAATATCTGGAGCCGGGTCCAGCTTTGTTGGCTG